CAGGGGAACTTGGATTCCAGATTCCAAATTTTAGTGGGATCCCAGATTCCTACAGCTGTATTCTGGATTCCAAGGCCTAGGAATCCAGATTTCATAAGCAAAAATTTCCAAGATTCTGGATTCCACATGCAAAAATTTCCCAGATTCTAGATTCCAGACTCCCTTACCTGGGGAAACCTGTTACAAGGCAGCAATAGCCCATCAGTAACTGGCCTATCCTGTAACCGCTACCCCTACACTATAAACCTTTATAATTGATGATTTCTTTAAGTTTTGGAACAACATAAAAAATTATTATTATCTTGATAATCCAACAATCACTGTTATATATTCCATGCACAGATACACAAAATAAACAAATTCATGGCTATCTACAAACAGTTAGAAGTCATTACCAGGCCTAAACAGGATCTGTTTCCCATGAAGAGAATACTGTCTGAATCCAAAGCAGGTGTTTGGGGTAATGCCTTTACAACCACTATAACACAACAACAAAAATTAACACTTTTTGCAGTTAGTGACTGTCTTTATTTTTATGAACCATATCATGAAAAGGTGGATAATTATTGTTGTGACAGTAAAGTTTGACCTGTCTAGATATAGGAAAGTTCATAGTGATGATCAGGAACAGTTATAATCATCAACTGAGAAGATATAATAACAATTGAAGGGTTTCCAGCAAAAATTAGGGCATAATTTGCTTAATATTGATACATTAGGTGAATTATTACACCCTTTTTACTGGAAACCCTTAAATTATTATAACAGCAAATGGGGTATTAATATAATTTAAAAGAATTTTACTGTAGATGATATTTATTGCTCCTCTTAATAATTATTATAACAACTTAATTCACTGAGATGAAGATGAAAAAGTAGCTTGATTAGGTGATCACTGCCAAATGGTCTTTTAATAGACTGATGTTGCTATTTCTGGTCATTTGCACACAGTTATACCAGTAGTTTAGTTACAAATAAGAGATAATTTTCAGGACAGCAGCTAGCAGGTATAGAAATGTGATTGTATGACAATGTTACATAGCTGATATTCTTACCCATTGATTCAACTATACTGAATATCACACCAAGCTCCACAAGCTGAACATCATCATCAATGGTTATATCCAGTTCAGGAATTTCTGGAAGGTCCTTTTGAAAAAAAAAAAAAAATTAGTGTAGGTAGCTCTGGACTCAAGTCCAGCGCTAGCATTGCTTAATTCCTTTGACATTCACAAGAAAGTTTGCTTCAGTTTGTTTCCCCCACCGAGGTGTATAAATGGGTACTGGGAACCTACTGTTAAATGAAAAATTTAATTTTTCACTTTAAAAAATACAGAAAGCTGGAACATGCAGGAAAAAAAAAACATATAATACAAGCTTAAGGAAAAAAAAACATGCACTCTGCATGGCAAACCAAAACATTTAGAAAGCAGAGACTCATCCTACCTGTACCTAGTCTTCCTTCACTTTTCTAACGTCTATCTATGATATCTTTACATGCTATTATCACGATAGATGATCATGACTTTACTCCTGATTAAAGCTACAGTTAACAGCATTGTTTGTCCAAAACCAGTTTTCACTTCTGCTGTACATATGTACACCCCTATCTCCCCCATTCAAAGTTGGGTTAAAACAAAACAATAATATTATATGAAAGTAGATCATCCCAGTTATAGACGCAACTTATGCAGTTGCAAAAAGAAAGCCTGAAAAAAACAATTCAGGCTTGTACAGGAATATAGTTTTTTCAGGCTCTCTATTTGCAACTGCATAAGTTGCGTTTATACAACTGCGATGATCTACTTTTACATAATTCTTCACCCCGCAGTTCACATATATGATTTTCATAAATTATATTCATAACTTTAAAACAATAATAGTTATTACTATGCAGACAACCAAACACTTTAGTTTTGCACAATATAAATTGGACCAACAGATGAGGAAATGAAGGAAAAAAAAGAAATAGGTACAAAAAGGTAGTCTATTAAACTTCTAAAGGTTGACTAAATATGATTCTAGTCTATACTAGGAAATGTCATATTTCTGCAACAAAGAAGAATTAACAGATCAGAAACCCAGGCCTACTGTACCTTTGCTAATACTTCACTCTTGGTTCTTGGAGGACCTTTCAGGACTTGTTCTTCTTCTTTCTCTATCTCTCTTCTTATGTCCTCAAGATCATCACTTGGGAAAATATCAAAGTTTGATCAATAGTTTGCTAATATGCAGGATTAAGCTGCAAGGGGCCAGCTTAAAATTTCGCTTTAAATGATAAGTTTCTCTTGAGAAAGTTAACATCTAATGAAAATTACACACTTTACCAACAATGGATCATTCCACTACTCCCAGGTTAGGACACAGCAGTTTTGTCACATACAAGGTAAGTGTCACAAAATGCATTTTTTAGCTCTCATTTTATAGATTTTGATGCAAACTGGAAATGAAAGGATTAGCAAGTCAATCACATCAGCACAAGCTCAGTTGGTAGGCTGGCTTTATTGCATAACAGAAGGTCATGGGTTTGATTCCTGGGACCGTCCCAATACTATACACCAGGGTCTTAAAAATAATGGAGAAATCAAGTTACTGCTTTAACCCTTTAAGTCCCAATGGTGACCAAAATCAATTTTCTCCTAACAATATCCATACACTGTCAAGAGATACATAATGAAAATAAATAAAATGATCACCCAAGAGAAAATGCCTTGATCTATTATCAAATTTGACTCTCAACTAATTCTTTAAGGAAATGTATTGAGATCAGTTTGGAGAATTTGTATGTTGATTGCAAACAGCAAGACCCCTGTGTGGCTTGGATGACCCCGTAAAATTGGGGTGGGCCAGAAGCTCTAAGAACGGCTCACAGGATTGGTTTAGAAAACAAAAGATAGCCGTAACCTAAACAAAACTAACAATGAACCCCAACTCTGAAACAATAGAGCTTTGGGCCAACAAGAACCTATCAAATTAGAGGTTCTAAAGAGGTTCTGGCCAACAGTAAAATTGAAGTCCTGTCTCCGGTAGCAGATGTAAATTAATCATTACCCCTGTGCTACAAAACGGGCATTTGTTTTGGTTGTTTTTTATTTGTTGGTTTGTTTTTGTAATAATTCTTACTTACTCAGAACTTGTGGAGCTTTCACTTGATGAGCTTTCATCATCAGAATCTGAAGAACTGTCACTAGAGGAAGAGTCAGTCTCTGTAGTATACTCTATTTGATCCCCAGTTCCTTTATCATGGATTCTGTCTAGTTCATGGTCAATAGTGTCCATGGCATAGACCTGATCCACACTTCCTATTGATGAAGCTGTGTTCGAGAATGCATTACCCGTCTCTAATTTCACATTTTCAACAGTAACAGGGCTTCCACTTGTGATCCCAGTATTCAGTGGCTCTTTGGTTATATCCTCAATATGAACTTGTACTGTTCTCACATGTTCAGTATTGGACTCAGCACCAATGTTAAGATGCTCTGGGAGAATATGTTTAGTATTTGTGGGTTTGTTGGCTAGGCCTACAACATTATGATGCTCATTTGTTGTATCCCCCATATGGACAGGCTCTGTGACTTTGTTTGCAATGTTACCACAATCTGTGATAGTATATCCAACTTTCACAGGCTCTCTGTATGTGCTTTTAGTATTGACAGGTTCTGTCACTATGTTTCCAATACCAACAGGCTCTTTTAATACATTACCAATACTGTTAAGCTGTAGGACTGAATGTCCAACACCATTATCCTCTTGGACACTCTCAGAAGTATTAGCAGCCATTGCGGTACCAGTATTGACAAGCTCTGTCATCACGTTTTCAGTACTAACAAGCTCTTTTACCATGTTACCAATATTGTTAGACTCCACAACCGGATGCCCAACAACTTCAGTCTCTTGAACACTCTCAGAACTATCAGCAGCCATTGTTGTACCAGTATTACCAGGTTCAGAATGTGCAATTTCATGGTTTTCTGGTGCTATTTCATTGCTCTCCCTTTCAAGCATTTTAATCTGTGATGTGGCCCCTATTATACTTCCATTGCTAAATTCACTTTCCTGTTTCTTCAAAGATGCATCATTTTTAGGGGCACAAATGATGACTTTTTCACATGCATTTAAATTATTATTGTTTTCCACTACTCTGTGGTCTTCAAGGTTCTTAATAGAAGCATCTGTGCAACGCATGGTGTTTGTGGAATTTTCTACAGCGGTTTTATTATCTAACTCTTCTTTCCAACATTCAACGTCAGTTGAAGATTTTTTGAAATTACCCAATTCTGTAGAACTTTCGGCAGATGTTTCATCGTCTTCTTTGTAACTGTATGCAATCGCAGCCAGACCAGTAAGTCTATTAACATTCTGTTGTGTAAAATTTGAAGACTTTGAACTAAATATGTGCGCTTTTCCCCCAGTTAAAACTGTGTCACTTCTGAAGACTTGCATTTCACTGACTCCTGCTGTATCCATAGCTTCTGTAGTCACAGTGCACGATTCATTCGAAACAGCTTGATCAGGATAATTTTGAGGTGTTCTCTCTTGCCGAGAGCCAGAAAAGACGGTTTCGTCATTCTGTACAAGGTGGCTTTTTCCTTCCATTTGGCCTCAAGGTAACCAAATTTTCCACATCAATTCAGTTGCGGAATAAAATTTCGGCGTTTAATTTATCGAAAAAAATCGTACGAAATTGCGACTGTTTTTCAAATGAATAGTTTAGAGAATTTCAAATCGTTACATTTCTGCTAAGTTTGTCCGCCATGTTTTTGCTCTGCACGTGTTGCGTACACCTATGATCGCAGGCGCAAAACAAAATCCCCAAAATGCAACGCGCGCCTTGTTCTCGTTCTCTTCCAAAATCACCAACAAGTTGAAAGTAAGAGAATTTCTCGTTACATTTTAGAATCCGAATTAATCTTCTAAAACTTTAACATCGCAGTAGTTTTGACAATTAGGAATGGATAGCAGAATGTTTTGGCCAATCATTGATGTAATTTTTATTGCAGATGGCGCAGCGACTGACCTACAGACGTCGTCTCTCCTACAACACTAAATCCAACAGGAAAAGGATGTGAGTTGTAATTTGTTGCTTTGCAAAATATACATGTGCTCTGTGGATTAAAAAATGTTAAATTGAAATGAAGTTGAATAGCTTGTAATAATTCTCTTTATCTTTTTTCCTTGCACAGTTCAAAGACACCTGGTAAGTTTTATTTTGAAGTTGAAAATCATGCATACAACAATTCTACGCTAACCACTTACTGTACCTGCTAAAATGAGGGTAAGATTTCCATGTAAATCCCATACATGTAATAAGCATGTAGCAATTTCATACTGTTTCACACAAATAATCGATATGAATAGAGTGGAAACATGCATGTTTAAATGAATGGGGGTTATACGGAGATCTTACCATAAGTGCTAACCATATGCATTTTGAGTCTGGGCAACCCTTTTTGTTGTGCACAGTCTTCTTTTTTTTTTTACCTTATAAGCTGAACTTCACATTTAAAAAATGAAATCAAAAAATTCGTCCCACCTACCCTCTGTTGTTCAGACATTAGATAGCGATATCCATAGGATATCCAGTGGGTAAGTATTGGGGAAACCGATAATAATTGTGGGGGACAAGAGGAGCCGGCAATCCCAATCTCCTTGTTGTTATTACACATGCATCACATGTATGTAGCCAGCATTCGTTTGGACTTCCACTAAGAATGAATGGAATGTACACAATGCAATTTGATCACGTGCTTTTCAAACTTCTACCCCTTGTGATCACGCGTGTTTTGACCATCTCTCGCGTGACACCTGCGCTCAGTGTTGGAGCAAAATTTGATCGTTGTCGCCCGCACTCTGTAACCTTTGGTTGTTACTAGTATTTTATTGTCCACTGGATGGAGATTTATCCAGTGGACAGAGTTATCCCTCTTTTGAACAACCGTGGCCAGGTTTTTAGGTTAAAGGAATAATAAATTAATGCTGATTTTCTAACAATCTGTAGCCCAATAAGGGTAATGTTGTACATTCTTAGCAGTGTACAGACCGAAGAGTGCACCTTTGTGGAAGTACAGTTTCAGAAATTTTAGCCAGTTATGTGCCGAAAACTCGCGCTTGTTATAGTTAGCAAGAGAAGCTTACCAAGGGATGGGATTGGTTAATCATTTTCACTTGGTATGAATAGCTGGACTGATCTTTACTATGTGGCTATCATTTAGCATAAAAACAAACCTTTCAAATGTCTAACCATGGAGTCAAAAATTTGAAAATGAGTTTGAACTTTAATACTGAAAAAATTTTATTTTTAATTCTCCAAAAACTTAAAATGGCTGCTGCTTAGTATCCAGTGATCTCCCTCAACTAATAAAATAATGTTTTTGTCACCTTCAAAGGGGGAAAGTTGGTATACCTGTACACCAAAAAGCCAGGCAAGGTTCCAAGATGTGGTGACTGTAAAACTAAACTCCAGGGGGTGAGTGTATTATTGAAGTCGCTAAATCAACCAACTCAGGTGTTTTCTTAAATTTTGATCACCATGGAAGTGAAAGTCACCACAAAAGCAGCTAGACTTGAGCCCTTTCATAATCAAACATTGAAGGGCTTGGGGAATAGCAGACTCAAATAACTTTTCACTCCGTATTAATTATATTGGGCAGCTGAAAGAGTCTGTCTGCCCACTTCGCTTTAACAAATTCCTCCTTACCCCTCTCGGATAATGTTATTATTTGTTTTTGAAGCTCTGTGTTAACTACTTCAGCATATCTAAGAATATTGTTCCAACTTTGTTTGGGAAGAGGGGGAAGAGACATGTCGTGTCTCAAATAATGTTGTTGTTAAAACATGAGCTGGGAAGACGCACTTGTGTGACCTGCAATAAACAAGTTCATTTTACTTCTACATGTGCTGAAGCTTTGCTTCAATATGTGACTGGGCTGTCATTAAGATTTCAAGTTGCTTGTACTAGACAGGAAATCAAACAGCTAGGGATTTCTCTTGGTTTTATTTTCTCCTATTTTCCCATGAAAGTAGCCGGGGCTTTTATGTTCCTTATAGCCAGGGAAAATGCCTGACCTCTGTCCTTCAGTGACAGCACTGACAAGTGTTGATGGTCATAGACCACACAATAAGAAGCTCCCCTGAATGAATTTTGATGGTTCATGTTTTATATCTGCATGCGCACTCATTGGTCATGCAACACATTTCTCCACTTGTAAATCATTCTCTGCCCTCTTGAGAGTAGGTTACATTGATAATAATAATGTCTGTTTTCTCAAATGAAAGCAAGCACTTTGTGCTGTACCAAATTGGATAGACAATTTTCGCAAATTGACGCCTAATCCATTACTGTTCACAGTGTGCCATTGAAATGTTACGTAAACATTTCTTTGTACGTAACCTTACAATAAGTAACATACATGTACATGTAAAGAGCTCTGTTAATTTTCTTACTACGTAGGCTTATTGTGTCAATATAGCACCAAAGATAAGAAAATAACTTTCCCATTCAAACTATCACATTATGTTGTTATTCTTGGAAAGTTTTCTTACAGTGAGAAAAGGGCATTTCTAAAGGAACACTGTCATGACACACTTTCAAGTGTGACATGCTGTGCACATTAACTCATGTGTATATTATTTGGTAATAAATGCTTTCTGTTAATAACTAAAATTATTTGAGCAGGTTTAAGTCTAAACGTAACAAAGTTAAGAATCCCTACCGCCAGGATGCCAACCATTTCGCTATTAACACATGTGGCTGAGGAGTTGAACCCAAGGCTACCAAGAACCAATGCATCCGGCAGTTAGGGCAGGAGTTTAACTCAGGACCTCCTGATTGCAATTCCAGCACTTTAACTGCCAACCGCACTGTCTCCTGCCCAAAATCTATGTTTAGTGGTGCTCCACGTGTGTGCGAGGGAAGCCCCATACCTAAAAAATTGGTAATCTATCCATCCGAGAAATTTTGGTAATCAGGTGACGCTTCGATCATTTACGGTCTAGTGATCTTTTGCCGTAAAAACTGAGTGTTGATTTAATCGCCTCTATGCACTGCATAGAGGGGGTTAAATTGACTGAGAAAATCTTAATTTTGGCCTCTAGTCTCACATTTAGAGGTCACGAAGCTGGTCTATTTCTCGCATATTCCTAAACTCATTTCCTGTAGTTTATGTTTTGAATTAGATCACCTGAGACCTAGTTCTTTTCTTGTTTGCGGAGAGTTCTCATGGGACAGTGTTCTACATAACCTAATTGTAGCGTAACTAAAGCTAAGCTAATTATAGAGAATTGTGCTGCAAGTCACTTAAGATCATTCTTTGGTTGCTGATTTTTTTTTTCCTTGAGATTCAGTGTAACCAAATCTTTGTTCTATAGAGTGATGTCCTGTAGTGCATGGGTTGGTTATTACTTTTGTCATAGAGTATCCCGGTGTATGCAACTTTCTGTTATGCGTTTGTTATGCGTTCTAAAGAAAGATTGCAGTTTTTAAACTGAAGCATTCCTCGTCAATGAAGAGAGGCTTTGAGCATTGCTTCCCCTTACTAAATCTGAAGAAAAAGAGAGACTGCTTGCAGTCTACGTGACTGTACGACCATCCACCTGTCCCTCTGCATCACAGGGAAATCAAATTATGTGAAATGTCAAATTTTCTAGCCAGAGTAGGAGCCTGTAACCTGTGTTTAACCTGATAATAGACATCTCTATCAAGGTCAATTGACAGGTGTCAAAATGGGGTATCTGCTGACCACCAGTTGTTAGCTTTTAATTGATTGCGGGGTCAAGCTTATGTTTTTCATTCATATGGCTTTCCCGTAAAGTTAAGGATGGATTTGTGGTCTTTTCAATCGTTTAAAGTCCATGGTCTGCAGTACAAATTTAAAATGCATAAACGAGAGCTTCACTTTTAGCTCTGGCTTAATCTTAGACTTGCCCACAGGCTGAGCTGGAAATTTTCTCGAGCGCAAAGTGCCAGCTAGAATTTTGTTATTTTTGCTATGTCAAAGTAAAAGCATTTCAGTAATACCTTTTTCTGCGTGGAAAATCGGGCTCTTGCTAGTCTCACACAGAAAGAACGCCCACTAAAACTTAAGTGTGCGTTGCTCTTCCCTACAATGTTTGTTAACAATGCAGTGAATCAGTAAACAATCCTCACCAAAGGAGGTGACTGTTCACAGGTGCAGGGAAAATGAGAACTTGCTTTTTTTAAAGATCTGGAATTTCTTGTCAGTCGTGTATTTATTCAGTCAGAAAAGCAATCACAAATAATTTACCGAATCTGTGCTTATTAGAATGAAAAACTTACAAAAAAAGTTGTCAAATTTGGAGACAATTTGTCACCATGTACGTGCTCAATGCGCTTTTAACCGTCAGCTGCCAGTGAAGATCAAATCGAAGGATCAATATCCAAGGCTAAGAGAGGTGCTATAAGTGGTACAACAACGAAACAAAAGGGCTAAATTTCATCTCTTTCCCAAGACTGTAATAAATTGAAAACATAAGGGGCATTTTGTAATGTCAAGCTCTTGCCTGAGTTGCTCTCTTGTGGCACAGACAAAAACACATCCTCTTGTCTTGTGAACGTCTGTGTAGTTTAATAGCTTTCTGTAACCCATAGATGATCACATCCTTGATAGAACCCATGTCACTCGGCTTCGTATTATAGAGGAGACCGTTAACACGAAATAATCAAATTAAGACCGCCCCCAAAAAATAAAGAACTACTACAGTGTAGACACCAATTGTCTATATTTGCATTTGGATCAAAACAGCTCAACTCATGTTTCATGTGGGGTGATCAGGGTTGATTGACGGCACATCATTAAAAATTGATTGGATAAAATCTACGGGAGGAAAATTCCTCCTGTAAATTTGATGCGCTGCAGGGGACAAAAGTCCTTAGCACTAGTGCCTACTACTGTAACCAGAAACGAGAGGCGAAGAACTTTGAGAAAGTCTAGCTGAATCTATATATTAGCTTTTGTCTCTGTTGCTGAATGACAGCAAGATAAGCAAAAGCAGGAGACAAAATTTCGGGGTAGTTTGGGGGTATAAAAGTGACACTGTTCACTCACTTTTTTTTTCCTTTTCTCCCCCCTTCCCCTTCTTTCACTTTTCTTTCCTTTTGATGTGGGAAAATGTATGTGAGAACCCTAAGCAGAGCTGGCCAAGCAAATAATAGCTTGGTCATGTAAAATATTAAAGACCAAAATATCGCCTAGTATGCTTAAAAACTCATGGCTTTGCGAATCTTTATTTCCTTTTTACTAACCAATTTCTAATTGCCGACCGGGGGAAATGACCGGCCAACTGAAAGTTTGTCCGGACAAATGGTTATCTTTGCTGGGCATTGTCTGTTCACCAGCCATTATTTTGAGCAGCGCTGAGTATCATGAAATATTTTGGAAGTTGGTGTGGATGTGTCAGTGATACTGTTATAATTCTTTATGTTTCTAATTTGTACTGCAGTTACCAGCTGTCCGTCCTAAAAAGCTGATGCACATTTCAAAGCCCCAGAAGACTGTTAGCAGAGCTTATGGTGGTTCACGATGTGCTCGCTGTGTTAGAGAAAGGTGAGCTGGTGCCATAGGCTTTTGCATCCTACAGCATTTTCATTAAAATGGTGACCTGAAAAAGAATCGAGGCTTATTATTTAAAATTTGTCTGTTAATTTGTTTATTTACAAATTAACCAAAAGCTTGGTAACAGACATTGTTACCTGTTGTACCCTATACCCAACCCCAAAACTAGTAAATACCGTTGAACCTCTACAACGGCTGAGATAAAAAAAATTAACTACAGCATAATGCAAATGAATGAGGAGATGATGCATGGCACATGCAGAAGATATTGCACAAGTTGGGTTTACATGAAGCACCACCCAAACGGGAATTTAAAGAATATTATGTTATTTTCTTCTTTCTCCAATTGAAAACCCTTTTAAGAACGAGACAAGAAAATACTTTCAGGTATCGGTTTTAAAGTTGTTCCCCTTTTTTTTTCAGGATAGTCAGGGCATTCCTGATTGAAGAACAGAAGATCGTTGTGCGTGTTCTTAAAGCGCAACAGGGGAAGAAATCAGGCTCTGCTTAAAGGAAATAAATGTTTCATTGTACATATAATGTGTGATTGTTTTTAACCCCCTATTTACACCTCTCTTTTACGTAGTTAGCATTAGGCTGGCCTGCAATCGTTCTTTCTGCTTTCTTTTACCTGAGCTGGCCTTTTGTTTTAAACATTGTTTTGACTGTTCAACAGCAAAGCAGAGTAGTGTTTCACCAATCACACAAGCTCCCTCTCTTGACTCCACTCCCTAAACCCCCCCCCCCCCACACACACACACACCCCCACCCAGAAACCCGCGCATTGTGTGAATATCAAGGGTTGGCTCAATTCATTGTCAGCCATTAGATGGAGAAGGGGGTTGCGATTATATTCACAAGAAAACATGTAACAAAAATGCACATGCTAGGGAAAAAAAGCGTTTGGTTTTTTTT